GAGAAGAGAAGAGAAGAGAAGAGAAGAGAAGAGAAGAGAAGAGAAGAGAAGAGAAGAGAAGAGAAGAGAAGAGAAGAGAAGAGAAGAGAAGAGAAGAGAATACTTCATTGGCCAAGTGTGATTGGACACACAAGGAATTTGTCTTGGTGTAAATACTCTCAGTATACGTAAAGAAAAGGTACATTCATTAACAATCAAGAATCATAACGTACAACACTTAATGATAGTCATAGCAGACTGGAAAGTGAGAATAAGCTTAGAGCTGGAAGGGACCCCGGAGGCCATCTAGTCCAACCCCCTGCTCTTGTGCAGGAGACCTATGCTATTTCTGTCCTTCTTAGAAGCCTCCAGTGTTGGAAGCACCCACAACTTCTGGTGCCGTCTCCTCGCCTGGCCTCTCATGACTGTGGGGATGCTGAAACAGTCGTAAGTGTGAAAAGTGGTCATAAGTCCCTTTTTTCAGTGCCATTGTAACTTTGAATGGTCACTCCACACAAGTAAAGTATTAGCAAAGGAGGGGAAAAAACCTCCAGAGAGGTTCCTGAGACAGGAAGTCTAGTCCTGCCAAGAATGTAATCAGGGTTAACAGAGAGGCAGCTTCTGTAAGCAACACCAGAATGTTTCCTTCCTGCCTTCCTTACAGGATTAGACCAGCAATTTCTTCTAACATCCGGTTCTCCCAACTGCTCAGAATGTTAACAACCGGTTCTAGCGAATAGGTGCGAACTGGAAGAATCCCACCCCTGGGGGGGGAGGCTCCCCCGTCCTCCCCCTTCCACTTACTTTGGCCAGCTTTTGCCTCCCGTCCTACAGCCTGGGGGGGTCTCCAGGACGAAACAGGAAGGGGAGATATAGTTGGACAGGACTTGCTCCTCCACCTCATTGGGACCCTTCGTCCTGCGCAGGAACCGGGCCAACCTGGAAGGGGGTGGGGAGGAAAGGAATGAAACTTGCATCGAATCTTCTTTGTGGGGGTTCAGCCAAAGGGAAAGCCACAATCCAGCCGATGCCCTCAAACACTGCAGGCCAAGAAACACACACACACACACGGGATCCAATCTTCAGCCCCCACAAAGGCAAGACAGGGAAAGACCCCTAGCAATCTCCCTGAACCTAGGGCAGGGGTCCCCAAACTCGGCAACTTGTAAGACTGGCGGACTTCAACTCCCAGAATTCCCCAGTCAGAATTCCCCTGCTTTTTCCCTCTCTCTTAATCTCCTAAAGCGGAGAGAGTTTGCAGAGGAAGGGATGGCAAGAGAGTCAACTATGCTGGCTGGAGAATCCTGGGAGTTGAAGTCCACCGGTCTTAAAAGTGGCCAAGTTTGGGGACCTCTGGCCTAGTGTCACCCTCCTCTCTCCCCCCCCACGCCCCCCAATAAGTCAGCAGGACTACAACTCTCATGCTGGAGCGGCAGTGCGGCGCTTCGAATGGACTTGGGAAACTCACAGCTGGTATTCCAAGAAGCCAACTGCATCGGTGTGAATTTGGGATAAAGTGTCAGGGGTCAAACCAGCATCAACATTTTCCGTGCAGGGGTCATGCTGGGGGGGGGGCAAGTGACAGCCTGATGCCTTTGGGGGGCATGTGGGGGGGAAAGAGGGGGGAGGGATTCGGTTCTCATGCAGGTCTTTAAATCCAAATGGACCGATTGCTGCTCCGAATAACAGAGTTGGAAGGGACCTCGGAGGTCCTCTAGCCCAACCCCTGCTCAGGCAGGAGACCCCCACATCATTCCAGACGAATGGTCGTCCGGTCTCTTCTTGAAAACCTCCCGTGTTGGGAGCACCCGCAACTTCTAGAGGGGTGGGGGCAACGGAGGGTGCTTACCGGCGGGTGCAGTTACAATGGAAAAGCATGCGATCGTCTGAATTGTGGAGCTGGTACTTGGACTCGTGGGGGCCGATCTGGAAGGGGCACTGGTCCAGCCGTCGGTAGCAGCGGCATCTCCGCGACAGGCCTGGAGAAGAAACAACAGCAGGCCGCAGTTCAGTTGGGGGAATTCACAGCGCCAAAGCCCCTCCCCAGCTCTTCCCACCCTGGCCAGGAACAACCCAATTGGGGGGAGGGGGTTGTCAGGAGCTGCCCCCCCCCCCCCCCGCCAAGTGTGGGTTTGAACATGGGCTTCCCAGGTCCTTGTCTAACACTAGACATCTACGTAGCCTATCCACACAAAGCCCCCAAAACACCAAAGGAGGGCTCTGCAATCTTGGCAACTTTTAAGCCTGGTGGACTTCAACTCCCAGAATTCCCCAGCCTGCAGGCCCGGACAGTGAGGAGCTTGGGGAGGAACATGGGCCAGTCCTGGAGGGCTCTGCATCGGAGGCAGAAATGGGGCCAGGACTGTCTGACAGTTATCAGCTGCCTTCGGAGACAGAGATCAGTGGGGAAGAAGAACAGCTGGAGCCTGTTCCCAGTGTTCACATGCACAGAGCTGCCAGGAGAAGGGAACAGCTAAGAAACAAGGGTCGACTCAGGAGTAAAGCCAAAACTTTGCTGACTGGGGAGTTCTGGAAGTTGAAGTCCACCAGGCTTAAAGTTGTCAAGGTTGGAGACCCCTCCCACACCAAAGTTTTCTGTTTTAGCAAAGCTTCGAAAGAGCCCCGCTTGTCAATCTCTGAGACAACAAGCAAATATTTTACCTGCTCCTTCGTAAATCCTCCCACATTTAAGTGGCCCCAGAAGGCCGTGGCTTGGCTCACCTGGTCTTGGCTTAGACACCTGGCCGTGTCCTGCAGACGGTCCGGCGAAGGGCCTTTTTCCTTGCCAGGTCTCGTTGGAGGAGGCTTCTTCCGTAGAAAAGACGACCGGGTGACGTGTGGCGAGAATCTCACCTTCCATCTTGGTGGAACCAGGCTCCAACGTAGTTGGAAGGGCAGGTGACCTTGGCACAGTCTCCTCACCTGGAGAGCTTCTCCCCGGGAGGTGAGTGACCTGATTCAGCTTGGAGAAGGGGCTGATGGGATCTTGAGTTTTGGAACTGGTTTTTTTCACCTTCTTTCTCCGCGTTTTGTGGCCTTTCGAGCCAGGTTTCCGACGCCGACCAGGCTGGAGAGGAGAAGCGGTAGCTTTGGGGTTCTCGATGGGCTGATATGGGCTTGGATCCACCAAGTGAGCCAGCGGCACCATGCCATACTTCTTACACCTAGCACAGGGGAGAAGAAAGCCAGGCGCCTTGCTCAGTCTTTGCATTTCCGCCACACCTTTACCTGGGTTATGCAAGTTGGCCCGGTCTTGCTTTTGTGCGATGCACCGAGCCCAAAATTAATCACAGAGGCACAAGTTCTTTCCCACCCCACCCCCCCAAAGACACAGAACTATATCGTGATTGGGCCGCTTGCAAATTGTCTGTTGTGCAAAGCCAGCTCCACTGTCCCTTTCAGCAAGATTTAACAGGTTCTTGAAAAGGCGTTTTGGCCTTAAAGGCAGGAGGAAAAAAAAAGGCCAAAACTTAAATTTATCGCCTGCAGAAGGCGGAGAAAGCCACAGATTGAGAGTCAACAGACAATTGGGTATGAGGATGGCTTTGACGAAAGAACAAATCTAGAACCATCTGGGTAGATTGACAGGCGCGTTCTCCAACCCACGGAGATAGGCGGGCTCCCAAAAGACTTACCGAGGGCCCTGTTGGCTGGGAAATTGGGGGTTGGGTTGGAAAGCCCGTGTTTCCAGATCTCATGAAGGTTGGGAAATAGATGGTTAGAAACAGAATCTAATAAATAGAGCCTGAAGCAGCTGGCCTGTACATACAAGGGGTCCCACAATCCTAGCGGATCAGAGCTTCTTAGAATCCCAAGTTAAATTATATTAACTGGATCGTAGCAAAAAAAATCAGAATTACAATGGCACTGAGAAAAAGTGACTTTTCCACACTTATGGCTGTCGCAGCCTCCTCAATAGTCACATGATCAAAAGTCAGCCGCTTGGCAACCGGTTCCTATTTATGATGGTCAAAAGTGTCCCCGGGGGGGTGGTGGCGAGGGGGAGAGAAGCCACGCGATCCCTTTTTGCGACCTTCTGACCCAAACCAAGTCCACGGGGAAGCCAGGTTCAGTTTCCCCACCACACCACCAACTTCACAACCGCAACGATTCGCTTAACGGAGGTGGCAAGGAAAGTCGTAACAACGGGACGATCACCACCCTCACTTAGCGAACATCTGCCTTGGTGACAGGAAGGAGGTCGCAAGTCAAGGCGTCTTCTTTTTCTCCCAATATACTTCCTCCCCCACCCCACCCCCCCGGCTTACTCACCCGCCCCACCAGTGCCATTCAACGCAGTCCTCGGTTTCCGTCAGCTGGAAGCACGGGACTTCCAGCAAGTTGAAGAAACTGTTCCCAATGAAGTTGGAGATGGTGTCGTTGAGGTTCCTCAAGCAATCGCTGAACCTGTGGAGAGGCCGAAGGAGGACACGTCGTTTGACGATTTCTGCTTTAAGAAATGGAAGGGAAGGGTTTATTTCCCTTGCAGGCGGCTGGTCGTTTGCATCCTTTTAAGAGGGGTGATGAGGCCCCTTGGAGGTTTGTCTGTGCCTTCGGGGGGTCAAAAAAAAAGGCCATCGAAGTCCAAATTGAAATTCAACAGAGGGAGAAGGGATAAGACATCATCTATCTCCAGTCTACTGCAGTTCCAACAAGGCTTCGCTCAGGTGACTCTGAGGACACAGAGAAACCTCCAAGTGGCCTCAACGCCCCCCAAATGACCAGCTGTTGGCAAGAAATAGAAATCCTTCCCTTCCCCACCAGCCAAGCCAGAGCTGAAGAAGCTTCTCGGATGAGAAGCGAAACGTCTTCAACAGATTGGGAGGGTGCCAGGTTGAGCAAGGCTAAATCAAACCCACCCGAGCCTCCCAGGAGCCTGTACTCACCTGTTATCGCAGCTGCAGTGAGAAATGGTGTGCAGCCGGTAGTTACGCATGCCGTACTTGAACTCCAGAGCTGTGATGTGAGCATCACAATTGTCATGCTCACGGCAACACACGTCCGGGCCCTGGAAAACCCCTGCGAAAAAGGAAGGAACTGGGATCAGATGACTAATGGGCCACTGGGAATTTCACCCCACTGGGAGGCTTCTAAAACGGGTCTCCAACCTCGGCAACTTTAAGCCAGGAGGACTTCAGCTCCCAGAATTCCCCAGCCAGCTTTGCTGGGGAATTCTTGCTGGCTAGGGAATTCTGGGAGTTGAAGTCCTCCAGGTTTAAAGTTGCCAAAGTTGGAGATTCCCTGTTCTTTACAAATACCTTTACAGCATGCCCAGGGTCACGTGATCAGGGATATCCCAATCATAGTGGGGTGCTCTGGGCTTTACACCTAGTTTTTTTGCTCAGCCTCGGCCGCTTTAAGGGGTTTTGGACTTCCGTTCCCATAATTCAGCCTGCTGGCTGGGGAATTCTGGAAGCTGAAGTTCTCCAGGCTTAAAGTGGTTGAGGTTAAGAAACACTAACCTGTATACTAGAGAGGCAGAAACTGATGTAGGGGGAAAATATGTCTCCACCCCCCCCCTCCCAAGACAAAACTACTACTCCAAACCACGTCTGGCTTCCCACTGCAGCATCTGGGGGTTGGACTAGATGACCTACAAGGTCCCTTCCGTAATCTGTAATCTATAGTTCTGGTGAGTTGTGTTGTGTTGGGGAGGTTCACCGAAGGGAGGCTCAGCCAATCTCACTGTACCCACGTTGTACTCCGACAAGGTTTGAACCAGTGGCAAGGCGTTCCACCGACCGTTTGCTGCTGACTGGCTTCCCAACCTCTCACACATTTCTCGCCTGGTTTTTTTTTTTTTCCTGTTCCCCCGCGCGTGGGTGTGTGCAAAGAGTCAGCAAAGCGCCCGGATTTTATTTTATTTTTAAAGCCACAAAAACTGGGGACCCTCGGGGGGATTTGGGCCGGAGCGGGTGGCCGGGGGCCGGTTTCCTTCCCGTGGGCCTTGCCACCTCCACCCACCTACGACCCTTCCCCTTTTACCCAGCTCCGAGGGCATCTCAGCCGTGGCCCCGGCTCCGCACCAAAGCGTCCCGGGAAGCGTGAAGGCCCGACGGCTCCGCGGCCGCGCTTCCCCTTCCCGTTTTCCTCCCGCCGCCGCCGGCGCAGAAGCTGCGCGTCGGGCCGGCGTTCCCTTGCAGGCTCCCTTGCGCGCTTCCAAGGCGTCCAGCTCTCGCCGCAGCCGCGGGTCCCAGGAGGCGCGGGCCAAGGGGTGGCGGAGCCCTCCGGGTCCGCAGAGCTCCAAGTAGCGGCGGGTCACGTCGGGCTCCGTCCGCAGGGCGCACTCCAGCAACTCCCCGCTGCGCAGATCCCACAGGCTCTGCACCAGGACCGGGGCGGGGGAGCCGTCGGGGCGCAGCCAGAGGAAGCTCAGCAGCCCGGAGCGGCCCCCGGGGACCCTGGTGGCGCAGGCCGTGTTGGCTTCGGTCCAGGAGCCGCGGGCGCAAGGCAGCTTCGCCAAGCCCAGGGCCAGCAGCACCAAGCGCGCAAAGCCAACCATGGCCGGCGCGTCCCGGCGAGGAAGGAATGAATGGAATGGAATGAATGAAGCGCGCGCGGCAGGGCGGCTTTTTAAAAAAAAAAAAAAAGCCCAGGGGTGGGCTCGTCCCGCCAGCCGGCCTGGGATTGGACGGCGCCGACAACACCACCGGCGGAGCCACGCCCCCTCGGGTTCCCACGCCGGCTTACCTGCCGGCTCAGCCTCGACGGTGCCTCTCGGTCGGCGTTGCGCTTTTTAAAAAGCAACTGGACTTTCATATAGACATTATGTAATGTAATATAATGTAATGTTATATTAGATTACATATTTATCTTACCTTACCGTACCTTATATTATATATTATGTTATATTTATATATATATAATTTTATTTAAAGTTTTTTCTCTATCACTTATCACTTATGGATGATAAAGAAAAAACTTCAAATAAAATTATATAATATATAATTTAATATATTATAATAATATATAATAAAATATTAATATATATATCGGACAGATATAGATAGATAGAGTTTTATTTAAAGTTTTTTTCTTTATCATCCATTAGTGCTTTGTGAAGAATGTATTGTCTGGGTCGATGTACTTTATACACAATGCTACTACTAATAATAATACTGTTCAGGTATACATAATCAGAATCTTTCAACTTTTAACATATACGTATCCATGGTAATTATAATATATTCTATCATAGTATATGTAATACCGTTTTCCCAATTTCTACATTCTGCCTTTCCCCCCCCCAGCCCTTAATGAAACAGACACCATATGAAGACGTATTCTCTATCTATCCCTCAACTCTTACCCATTTTAGAATTTCAACTGGGATGAGAAGAGAAATGTCTTCCCCCCACACACCAAAAAAAGGTGAACAAAAGTCAAAGCAAAGCTGGCTGGGGAATTCTGGGAGTTGAAGTCCACAAGTCTTAAAAGTTGCCAAGGTTGGAGAGCCCTGCTGTAAAGCAAGTATGGCAGAACTCTCTCCTTTGAAATAGTTTCTCCCAGAAACTCATAAGCAGGTGGGCCAACTACGGGTGTTCCTTGCTTAGTCTCTTGTGTAAATACAGACTTACCTGTAGAGGAACACCACCGGCTTGCTTGTGTGGGGTGGGGGAGGGGCAGGGTTGGAGCCTGCCTTGGAAAATCCTCTCAGGCCCAGAGCCTGCTTTCTCTTCCTCCAAGTGCTTTCTCCATTTCCGGCTGGGAAAGGCTGGGATGACTCACTCATCACCTGATGGGATCTGCCCAGGTAAGGCAAATATCTGGCCGGGCGGGTTGGGGAGGTGAAAAGGCGGCAAGAAGCCAAAAGGGAGCCTGCCAATTGGTTCCGAGGCATCTGATGATGAGGTCAAGGTGGGAATCCTGTTTTTTCCAGGAAAGCACCTGTCTCTGTCTGAGCGAAGCCTGTTTCAGAACAGAACAGAACAGAACATTCTGGCAAAATGTACGGGAAAGGAACTACAGATTAACAATGGCAACTTGTTATGAAGGACACTTATGTATGAAAGGCTTTATAGAGGGCATTTGCCACCTGTTAGGTTAGCTAAAATGTTTAAAAATAGGTCTAGCAAATGTGGGGAAGGGAATCAAAAGACGGGCACATTTTATCACATGTGGTGGAATTGTGCTAAAGCGAAACAATGTTGGGCAAAAAGGCACAGGGGGTTAGGAAAGACAATAGGGGAAACAACATGTAGATTTCAAACCTGAACTGTTTTTTTTTTTTTATTAGGGATGATATCAGAAAAAAATTGGTAAGAGAAGTATGTATTTAGCATGGCATGTTTTGACAGCAGTGAGGATTACCTTCGCACAATATTGGGAAGCTGGAGAAACACCGCAAGAGGAAGAGATACAGTGTGTGTGTGTGTGTGTGTGTGTGTGTGTATGGCAGATGAGATTATATCTATCTATCTATCTATCTATCTATCTATCTATCTATCTATCTATCTATCT